ATAACTAGTGGGCTAGACCCTCAACTACATAACGATTGAGCTAGGCCACTCAACGACATAACGAGTGAGCTAGGCCACTCAACTACAAAAGTAGTGACAACTAGATAACTAGTGGGCTAGACCCTCAACTACATAACGATTGAGCTAGGCCACTCAACTACATAACGAGTGAGCTAAGCCACTCAACTACATAACGAGTGAGCTAGGCCACTCAACTACATAAGTAGTGACAACTAGATAACTAGTGGGCTAGACACTCAACTACATAACTAGTGAGTTAAGTCACTCAGCTGCATAACTAGTGAGCTAGGTCAATGTGATAGGAGGTCCAGATAGCTCAGCGGTTAGAGCGACCTTGATATGAGCTCCAGGTAGCTCAGTAGTTAAAGTGACCTCAATGTGATAGGGGATCTAACTCAGTGGTTAGAGCGACCTTGATTGGAGTTCCATGTAGCTCAGTGGTTAGAGCGACCTTAATGTGATAGGAGTTCAAGGTAGCTCAGTGGTTAGAGCGACCTCAATGTGATAGGAGGTCCAGGTAGCTCAGTGGTTAGAGCGACCTTGATTGGTAATGAGCTAGGTCAATCAGCTACATAACTAGAGAGCTAAGTCAATAAATTTCTACATAACGAGTGAGCTAGGCCACTCGACTACATAACGAGTGAGCTAGGCCACTCAACTACATAACGATTGAGCTAGGCCACTCAACTACATAACGAGTGAGCTAGGCCACCCAACTACATAAGTAGTGACAACTAGATAACTAGTGAGCTAGACACTCAACTACATAACGAGTGAGCTAAGTCACTCAACTACATAACGAGTGAGCTAAGTCACTCAGCTACATAACTAGTGAGCTAGGTCTCTCAACTTCATACATGTTACTAGTGAACTAGACCACTCAACTGCATAACGAGTGAGCTAAGCCACTCAACTGTATATCGAGTGAGCTAGGCCACTCAACTACATACATGCTATTTGTTAGCTAGGCCACTTAACTACATAACGAGTGGGCTAGGCCACTCAACTATATATCGAGTGAGCTAGGCCACTCTACTACATAACGAGTGAGCTAGGCCACTCAACTACATAACGAGTGAGCTAGGCCACTCAACTACATAACGAGTGAGCTAGACCACCCAACTACATAAGTAGTGAGCTAAGTTACTCAACTACATAAATAGTGAGCTAAGTCACAAAACTCCTTAACTGATGAACTATGCCCCTCAACTACATAACTAATGAGAAAAGACGCATTATACATATACTAATGAGCAAGGTTGTATTGTACCACATAACTAGTAGGCGAGGAGAGGATCCATCACCACACTCATAAATAGTGAGCTAGGACGAATAACAACATATCTAGTAATTGAACTCACAATACCACAAAAATAGTGAGCAAATCACATAACTATAGTAAGCGGGGTCACATTAAACTATAACATTGAGCAAAGACGAATAACAACATATCTAGTGAGTGAAGGCACTTTACCTCAACTATTTTAAATAGTATCACACAATTAGTGAGCGAGGACACACAACCACATAACCAGCGAGGAAAAACTACCAAATAAGTAGTGAGTAAGAACGCGTATGTCTCGGGAATAATAGNTTAAGATAATTGAGTCCTAGCTGTACTTTTTCCGGAAGTATGTCACGAAAATGGACGCTGATGACGATGTGTCGAGCCACCTTAAACACGAGGTTCGGGTTTCCTGCGGAATCTGAGCGAGGGCTATAGAAGTTTGTCAATAAATGTTACATGTAGCTCTATTGAGTTGTAAGTGCATATCCTATAGTTTGTATGTTGCCCCTGTGTGACCCGTAGGTACGATACGACATTATGTAGCTTTACTTGCCAAGGGCAATTAGTTTCCATACCATAGATAACGTTAGTTTTACGATACAATTACAAAATGTCAAGTGTTCATGGGATATCAATAAATATTAATTTATTTTTCTGCTTTTTCGGTGGTTACACAGGAAAGGGTTTGTACGTAGTACCCGTATGCATTAAAACGTAATGGAATCAATGTATGCCAGTCTGTCGAAATCAATTGCATGCTAAAACGTATTAAGGATGCCTGCTCAAGTGCACGCAAAACATCAGAGAATTCGAATGCTACTGTAGTTTCATTATATACAGTAACCTGCCTATAGTTGTGTTTTATATGACTTTATAGGGACTAGGAAAGAACAGATTATCAGGTAGCTCAGTGGCTAGAGCGACCTCAATGTGATAGGAGGTCCAGGTAGCTCAGTGGTTAGAACAACCTCAATGTGATAGAAGGTCCAGGTAGCTCAGGGGTTAGAGCGGCCTCAGTGTAATAGGAGATCCAACTCAGTGGTTAGAGTGACCTTAATGTGGTAAGAGGTCCAGGAAGCTCAGTGGTTAGAACAACCTCAATGTGATAGGAGATCCAGGTAGCTCAGTGGTAAGAGCGGCCTCAGTGTGATAGGAGGTCCAGATAGCTCAGTGGCTAGAGTGATCTCAGTGTGATAGGAGGTCCAGGTAGCTCAGTGGTTAGAGCGACCTCAATGTGATAGGAGGTCCAGGTAGCTCAGTGGTTAGAGCGACCTCAATGTGATAGGAGGTCCAGGTAGCTCAGTGGTTAGAGCGGCCTCAGTGTGACAGGAGATCCAACTCAGTGGTTAGAGCGACCTCAATGTGATAGGAGGTCCAACTCAGTGGTTAGAGCGACCTTAATGGGTAAGAGGTCCAGGAAGCTCAGTGGTTAGAGCGACCTCAATGTGATAGGAGGTCCAGGTAGCACAGTGGTTAGAGCGACCTCAATGTGATAGGGGATCTAACTCAGTGGTTAGAGCGACCTTGATTGGAGGTCCAGCTAGCTAGCTCAGTGGTTAAATCAACCTTGATGTGATAGGAGGTCCAGCTAGCTCAGTGGTTAGAGCGACCTCAATAAAAAAAAGATGCCTTGGAAAGTACGGTGACATTCCAAAACGTACACCTCCCGTACACGCACAGTCACGCACACAGTGGAGGCATTGTCCACGTTGCATAGGTCCAGTAGTAAGCACGTGTCGACTGATAAGGCTGGCTGTAATGGCAATGTATTGTGAAGCGGCTAGGAGTGGGGTATTCATTAGACTGGGCGTCGTGTGAAACGTCGTATAAAGTTGATAAAACAGCACTGTTAGAGATAAATACAGGTCACATTAACGTGATGCTTGTTATGGATAAGATATGTGTAGTGTAATGAGAGAGTAGCATGATGTAAGTGATTGATTGATATTAAGTAATAAAAAAAAAATGACTATATTGAAAGCTGGGAGATCTTTACTGTTGCCACGTGTAGTTGGCACTGTAAAGGGAAGATGATCTCGCTATCGTTTCCCTGTCGTGAAGTTGTGAAATTGCTCAGCTGGCTGTGAAGGTGATATATGTTGTATGTACAAGATATGTGATGTTTTGGGCGTATATTGAGACAACTGCTACTTGCGGATTGCTTTCACCATAACCTCCAAGCAACCCTACATAAAACAGCACTGACAGATCATTTGTATTATATCAACAAACAACTCCATTAATGTCATGTATGTAAAGTTGGTCAGGTTGGTTAAGCTGTTTATGCTTGCATCATACATCTAAAATGTTTGTGCTGTCTATCACATATGCTAGTTTCGAAATATGGCTGTATGCATCGAACATGGGAAATGGTTTACCTGACACTGCTTGTTTCGGAGTGTGACTGTTTATGTGTAACAAGCGGACTATGCTTGTTTCGGAGTGTGCTTGTAGGGATGTAAAAACTGACTATGCTAGTTTTGGAAGTGTGACTAGGTGTGTAACATCTGACATCATTAAACTGACTATGCTTGTTTGGGAGTGTGCTTGTGTAGGAATGCAATATCTGAAAAGGTTAAGTTGACTATGCTTGTTGCGGAGTGTGACTGTAGGTGTGTAACATCTGACATCATTAAGTTGAATATGCTTGTTGCGGAGTGTGCTTGTAGGGATGTAAAAGCTGACTATGCTAGTTTTGGGAGTGTGACTTGGTGTATAACATCTGACATTATTAAGTTGACTATGCTTGTTGCGGAGTGTGACTGTAGGTGTTTAACATCAAACGTAGGTCGAGGCTCGGTTAGACAATCAGTTGTATTAAACATACTGAGACTAACTAATAATACATATAATATATAATTATATATATTTCCAAACTGATGAATCTTATTGAAGAATACATATATATGTCATCATAATGGGTTAGGGGTCTGGCACCACTCTTGGCGACTTCGTCCTTTAATCATAACTTTGAAACGGTTGAAATTACTACACCATAACCATATATTCAATTGCTGTGTATAAATAGACGAACACAGTCATGATATAAGAATTAACTCAGGGGTCTGTTCACGCGCCTAGGAACTGAGTCCTTCAGTCAGGACTTGGAGACTTTTATACCTCAACTCTATAACTATATCTAACATTTCAAATACAGAAAATATAAGATTCCCATACTGCATTTATGTATAACATATAAAACTGCTGAGCATGCCGATTTGGATATAATTATGCTTCCATGATTGACCCTGAGGTCATTTCCCTGCGATCTTATTTACAGTATTACGTTAAGGAGAATATTTTGCCACGAATGCTTGGATATTCAGGTGAGCGATGCAGGCTCTCTGACTCGAAGCCTGCTATCAGCAGCCTATCCCATTAAAGGTGTTGTATAAATACATCAACTGTATAAGCTTTTTTCAACGTGCCACTGTTCGTTGTCAATGAGAAGCCATTCTACCATCTGTCGTTCTCTCATGGTTTTTGCAGCCAGTGTAAGCCTGGCCATTTTACTGAGCCGTCGTTGCGTACCTGTATTGACAGGTAAGCTGTCTGGGTTCAATGTGTATTGCTGCTATATATATATACTGATAACTAGTCAAGATCAGGCCATTCGATAAAGAAGTAGGACTATCCTAATAAACGGTAAAACACTGATCGCTCAAATTAGTTTTATTTGTATGTTTTGCAGACGTGTAAAACCAGAAACTATCGACTGGAAGTGACAGCTGGTGGGAACATGTTCAGCGTATCATCTTGTTAATAGGTAAGTAGGTTGCTTACTGAGCTGAACACTGCACTATAATATGATATCGAAGCTGACCATTTGACTGCATCCTTGGATGTTGGCCCGTCGTCTGTCCTAAACAATTCACGTTATCGCTATTTCTTAAGCATAGGTAGATCTTTCTCTAATATTTAATATGAAGGTCCCCATTGTTCCATAGATGGGTATGATCAATTTTAAGAAGAAGAAGAAGAAGAAGGAAAACAAGGCCGCCATACAGCCGTCTTTGATTGTGACAGCACAAAATGTTTACCGCTACTTCTCAAGAAGTTGATAGACCTTTTTTTCAAATTTCAAATATAGGTTTTATTTTGAGATTTGAATGCTTTCTTCCCGATGTTACATTGAACGACGGCAGAAATATTTCTCATGAGTTCGGGGCCTCTTCCAGGACATAAACATATCCACGTGCGAGTAAGACTATGTTTTTGAACAACAGAATATTATTTTGGGAAAAAGAAGATAGTATTTTAACTGATGCTCAATTTGGATTCCGATCGGATTTATCAACTGTTGATGCTATTTTTGTTTTACAAACGCTTATAAATAAAACCCTTCAAAACAAAAAGAGTCTCTATCGTTGTTTTGTCTCGCCGCAACGGGGGAGCGAAAGCGAGACTAAGGTGTTGTTTTTCCGACGACGGCGACGGCAGTTAATACTAGCATTATGGTGTTGAAATTTTGCATGAAGGTTCTTTTGGAGTCTACCATTCATACTATGAAGTCAAATTGGGGATTTGTTTTCATTTTTTTCATTTTTTTTTTACATATTTTGGGCGAAAAACAGAATTTTGGGTGATTTTGAATATTGGACATACAATGTAACTTTTTAAATAATTGTTAGGTTAACTTCAAATTGCATACACACCTTCAGTATACGAAGTACTTCAATACACAATACGTTTTTTTTGCTCAAATGACCACAACATTTTTTTTGGCAGAAAACAGAATTTTGGGTGATTTTGAAAATTGAACATAATTTCTTTAATAATTGTCAGAGTTGCTTCCAATTTTATACAAACCTTCAGTATACGAAGTACTTCAACATGTAACATTGGTTTCTTGCTCAAATGACAACAACAATTTTGTGGGCAGAAAACATAAAAAATTTGGTGATTTTGAGAATTGGACATAACTTCTTTAATAATTGTCAGATTTGCTTCCAGTTGCATACACACCTTCAGTATACACAGTACATCAACATTAATATTGATGTTTAAATTAGTGTACCAGAGCGCCCCAACAAGTTGTGATCAGATATGAACTTGTTTTCATATGCAAACATGTAATAGTATGTGTTTCATATTCCATATTTCCCCCAAATATTTTTCCTAATTTTCCATAGCATATCTTCTACACTATTTCACCTGGAGTAATCAGATTTGGTATGCAAGTACATCTTGGGAAGGCGGAGTATCGTGTATAACAAAATGTAGGTCAGTGGGACCTATGGTAAGGTCACATGGCGATGACATGGCGATGACACAGCTAAGGCCACATGGCGATGACATGACGATGGTACAGCTAAGGCCACATGGCGATGACATGACGATGGTACAGCTAAGGGCAAATGGGGATGACATGGCGATGACACAGTTAAGGCCACATGGGGATGACATGGCGATGGTACAGCTAAGGCCACATGGCGATGACATGGCGATGGCACAGCTAACGCCACATGGCGATGACATGATGATGGCACAGCTAAGGCCATATGGCGATGCCATGACGATCGTACAGTTAAGGCCACATGGCGATGACATGGCAATGGCACAGCGAAGGTCACGTGGCGATGACATGACGATGGCACAGCTAAGGCCACATGGCGATGACATGGCGATGGCACAGCTAACGCCACATGGCGATGACATGATGATGGCACAGCTAAGGCCATATGGCGATGCAAGACGATCGTACAGTTAAGGCCACATGGCGATGACATGGCAATGGCACAGCGAAGGTCACGTGGCGATGAAATGACGATGGCACAGCTAAGGCCACATGGCGATGACATGACGATGGTACAGCTAAGGCCACATGACAATGACATAGCGATGGCACAGCTAAGGCCACATGGCGATGACATGGCGATGGCACAGCTAAGGCCACATAGCGATGGAACAGCTAAGGTCATGGCGATGAAATGACGATGGCACAGCTAAGAGGCCACATGGCGATGACATGACGATGGTACAGCTAAGGCCACATGACGATGACATAGCGATGGCACAGCTAAGGCCACATGGCGATGACATGACGATGGCACAGATAAGGCCATATGGCGATGCCATGACGATGGCACAGCTAAAGCCACATGGCGATGACATGACGATGATACAGCTAAGGCCATATGGCGTTACCATGACGATGGCACAGCTAAGGCCACATGGCGATGACATGGCGATGGTACAGCTCAGGCCAAATGGGTACAGCTAAGGCCACATGACGATGACATAGCGTGGCGATGGTACAGCTAAGGCCACATGGCGATGACATGGCGATGGCACAGCTAAGGCCACATGGCGATGACATGGAGATGGTACAGCTCAGGCCAAATGGCGATGACATGACGATGGCACAGCTAAGGCCATATGGCGACGGTACAGCTAAGGTCACATGGCGATGACATGGCGATGGCACAGCTAACGCCACATGGCGATGACATTGCGATGGTACGGCTAAGGCCACAAGGCGATGACATGACGATGGCACAGCTAAGGCCATGACGATGAAACAGCTAAGGTCACGTGGCGATGAAATGACGATGGCACAGCTAAGGTCACATGGCGATGACATGGAGATGGCACAACTAAAGCCATATGACGATGACATGACGATGGTACAGCTAGGGCCACATGGCGATGGCACATCTAAGGCTACATCGCGATGACATGGCGATGGCACAGCTAGGGCCACATGGCGATGACATTGCGATGGTACAGCTAAAACCACATGGTGATGACATTGCGATGGCACAGCTAATGCCACATGGCGATGACATGGCGATGGCACAGCTAATGCCACATGGCGATGACATGACGATGGTACAGCTAAGGCCACATGGCGATGCTACAGCTAAGGTCATATGGCGATGCCATGACGATGGTACAGCTAAGGCCACATGGCGATTACATGGCAATGACATGGCGATGAAACAGCTAAGGCCACATGGCGATGACATGGTGGTGGCACAGCTAATGCCACATGGCGATGACATGCGATGACATAGCTAAGGCCATATGGCGTTACCATGACGATGGCACAGCTAAGGCCACATGGCGATGACAAGGCGATGGTACAGCGCAGGCCAAATGGCGATGACATGACGATTGCACAGCTAAGGCCATATGGCGATGGTACAGCTAAGGCCACATGGCGATGACATGGCGATGGCACAGCTAAGGCCACATGGCGATGACATGATGATGGCACAGCTAAGGCCATATGGCGATGTCATGACGATCGTACAGTTAAGGCCAAATGGCGATGACATGGCAATGGCACAGCTAAGGTTACGTGGCGATGAAATGATGATGGCACAGCTAAGGCCACATGGCGATGACATGGCGATGACATGGCGATGGCACAGCTAAGGCCACATGACAATGACATGGCGATGGCACAGCTAAGGCCACATTGCGATGGCACAGCTAAGGCCACATAGCGATGGTACAGCTAAGGTCATATGGCGATGCCATGACGATGGTACAGCTAAGGCCACATGGCGATGACATGGCGATTACATGGCGATGACACAGCTAAGGCCACATGGCGATGACATGACGATGGCACAGATAAGGCCATATGGCGATGCCATGACGATGGAACAGCTAAGGCCACATAGCGATGACATGGCGATGACACAGCTAACGCCACATGGCGATGACATGATGAATGCACAGCTAAGGCCATATGGCGATGTCATGACGATCGTATAGTTAAGGCCACATGGCGATGACATGGCAATGGCACAGCTAAGGTCACGTGGCGATGAAATGACGATGGCACAGCTAAGGCCACATAGCGATGGTACAGCTAAGGTCATATGGCGATGCCATGACGATGGTACAGCTAAGGCCACATGGCGATGACATGGCGATGACATGGCGATGACATGGCGATGACACAGCTAAGGCCACATGGCGATGACATGACGATGGCACAGCTAAGGCCACATGGCGATGACATGATGAATGCACAGCTAAGGCCATATGGCGATGTCATGACGATCGTATAGTTAAGGCCACATGGCGATGACATGGCAATGGTACAGCTAAGGTCACGTGGCGATGAAATGACGATGGCACAGCTAATGCCACATGGCAATGACATGGCGATGGCACAGCTAATGCCACATGGCGATGACATGACGATGGTACAGCTAAGGCCACATGACAATGACATGAGGATGGTACAGCTCAGGCCAAATGGCGACGGTACAGCTAAGGCCACATGGCGATGACATGGCGATGGCACAGCTAACGCCACATGGCGATGACATTGTGATGGCACGGCTAAGGCCACATGGCGATGACATGGCGATGGTACAGCTAAGGCACAGCTAAGGCCACATGGCGATGACATGACGATGGCACAACTAATGCAACATGGCGATGACATGACGATGGTACAGCTAAGGCCACATGGCGATGACATGACGATGACACCGCTAAGGCCATATGGCGTTACCATGACGATGGAACAGCTAAGGCCACATGGCGATGACATGAAATGCCACATGGCGATGACATGACGATGGTACAGCTAAGGCCACATGACAATGACATGAGGATGGTACAGGTCAGGCCAAATGGCGACGGTACAGCTAAGGGCACATATGACGATGATGCGGCTAAGGCCATATGGCGTTACCATGACGATGGGACAGCTAAGGGCACATGGCGGGGACATGGCGATGGAACAGCTCAAGTCACATGGCGATGACATGACGACTGCGCAGCAAAGGCCATGTGGCGATGGTACAGCTAAGGCCGCATGGCGATGACATGGCGATGGCACAGCTAACGCCACATGGGGATGACATGGCGATGGCACGGCTTAGGCCACATGGCGATGACATGACGATGGCATATCGTTATGCCATGGTGATTGTACAGCTAAGGCCACATGGCGATGACATGGCGGTGGCACAACTAATGCAACATGGCGATGACATGGCGATGGCACAGCTAACGCAACATGGCGATGACATTGTGATGGCACGGCTAAGGCCGCATGGCGATGACATGGCGATGGTACAGCTAAGGCAAAGCTAAGGCCACATGGCGATGACATGGCGGTGGCACAACTAATGCAACATGGCGATGACATGGCGATGGCACAGCTCAGGCCAAATGGCGATGACATGACGATTGCACAGCTAAGGCCATATGGCGATGGTACAACTAAGGCCACATGGCGATGACATGGCGATGGCACAGCTAAGACCACATGGCGATGACATGGCGATGGCACAACTAAATGGTACAGCTAAGGCCACATGGCGATGGCACAGCTAATCCTACATGGCGGTGACATGTAGATGGTACAGCTAAGGCCACATGGCGATGGCACAGCTAATCCTACATGGCGGTGACATGTAGATGGTACAGCTAAGGCCACATGGCGATGGCACAGCTAATCCTACATGGCGGTGACATGTCGATGGTACGCTAAGGCCATATGGCGTTACCATGACGATGGAACAGCTAAGGCCACATGGCGATGACATGGGGATGGCACAACTAATGCAACATGGCGATGACATGGCGATGGTACAGCTAAGGCAAAGCTAAGGCCACATGGCGATGACATGGCGGTGGCACAACTAATGCAACATGGCGATGACATGGCGATGGCACAGCTAACGCCACATGGCGATGACATTGTGATGGCACGGCTAAGGCCACGTGGCGATGACATGGCGATGGTACAGCTAAGGCAAAGCTAAGGCCACATGGCGATGACATGGCGGTGGCACAACTAATGCAACATGGCGATGACATGGCGATGGCACAGCTAACGCAACATGGCGATGACATTGTGATGGCACGGCTAAGGCCACGTGGCGATGACATGGCGATGGTACAGCTAAGGCACAGCGAAGGCCACATGGCGATGACATGACGATGGCACACCTAATGCAACATGGCGATGACATGACGATGGCACAGCTAAGGCCATATGGCGATGACATGGCGATTGTTTAACTAAAATAAAGCCAAATGGCTATGACATGACGATGGCATAGCTAAGGCCATATGGCGATGACATGGTGATGGTACAGCTAAGGCCACATGGCGATGACATGGCGATTGTTTAACTTATAAAAAGCCACATGGCGATTGTGTTACTAATAAAAAGCCACATGGCGATTGTGTAACTAATAAAAGGCCACATGGCGATTGTTTAACTAATAGAAGGCCACATGGCGATGGTACAAGTACTTAAAGGTCACATGGCACCTATACAGTTAAAGCAAACACGATTATGTACAGATATCTAGAAGAGAGCTTTTTAGGTTACAAAACAAGGTGGATACGTCCACTAGTCCAGATTTCTAGTCAGTTTCGAGGCTTAATGATGACCGGAGTCCGGATTAAAGATATCATTACTAAAGCGTGTACTAAGCGTGGTCGGGATTAAAGATGTTCCGTGCCAAAACCTGTACTTAGTTTACAGAGCCACAGATCTAGCAGGATTTCAAAGCCGATGTTTCCCATTTTAAAATTAATTACACGGATATAGAACTGAAGGCCGAGTTCAACGAGCTTCGGCGGCAGTGATAAAGCGTAATATAATTCCATGATATGCCTTTGTGTGGAACGTGTAAAGGCTATAGATGTTCCATATCAGGTCTCTGCAACAGCAATTACCTTAGAGTATTGGAGCCATATTGATGATTACGTCATTTTATCTTTTCTGTAAGTCCGCCACAGAATGCGATGAAGTAACATGTCGCTGCTATCAGCTTAAGGTATGCAATTGAACTTAGTTCAATATCATGTTTACAAAGGTTACAAGTTCATTCTACATAGAGACCAAGTTGATTTTCTGGTTATACAGGTTTTCTGATTACACAGGTTCAACGTACATACACAAATTCCATTTCATACAGGATTTGGTTTAAAAAGTGTTTACCATGCGTAGAGCATGGCATATATAGCTTATGCTTTTCTCTCATTTTTTATTTTCAGATACTACATGGTCTAGGGTTGGTAAAGTCATTCCGTCATGAAGTATAAACAGAGGTTGGTAACGGCAGTTGTCATGGTTGCTGTTCTCGTCTGCGTAGCGACACTTTACAAAGGGGCGACAACCCTTATAAATAGATCCTCCAAAGACCGCGATGCTCAATTTGGTGGCTTCGTCGCCGACTTGGCACGCGGAAGATATTTAGGTGGCGCCTTTGGAACATGTCCCTCAGAAAAGGCAACCGCGACTTACATGGTGGACGATTTTTATGACAAAGTTTTGTTTACAAAAAACGCGAGGAATGGTTTATACATTCTGAACGAAACAGAAACTGCCTTTGTAGATCATCGGATGAAGAAAATCATGAGCCCGACAGAGCCGTTAACTGTAATTGTTGTTCCGCATTCTCATAACGATCCCGGCTGGCTTTGGACATTACAAACTTACTACGACGTCCGGACCAGACATATTATTTCCAACACTGTCAAATTTCTCAAGGACACACCTGATTTCCGGATGATCTGGTCGGAGACCATATTTTTAAAAATGTGGTGGCAAGACGCTAACCCACAGGACAGGTCACAACTCAAGTTACTTTTGAAAAATGGTCAGCTAGAAATACTGTCTGGGGGCTGGGTGTCCGTAGACGAGGCGACGACTCACTACACAGCCGTCCTTGACCAGTTAATCGAAGGTCATCTGTGGATTAAGGACAATCTTGGAGTAACCGTAAATACAAGCTGGTCAATCGATCCGTTTGGGTATTCTTTAACACTGCCGTACCTGTGGAAGAAGGCAGGCATGTCTAACATGGCAATCTTACGTATACATGGTGCTGTCAAATCTTACATGGGAAACCGACAACTTCTTACATACCAGTGGCGACAGCCCTGGGATGTCCCCGGAGTCCATGACATCACATGTCACGTGGAACCTTATACCCTGTATAACATTGAGTACAGCTGTGGTCCAAACATGGAAATATGTAAACGGATGGACTTTGCACGTGAGCCAGATTTCCCTCCTGAAAATAGTCTCCCAAACGCTAATCATAAACGTGGCATTGCGACGCAGAATTTCGAACAACTTGCGAAATCAATTGTCGAACAATATCGACTTAAGGCGACTCAATATAGCCACAATGTTATTTTAATGCCGCATGGAGACGATTTTCGGTACGTCAGCGATTACGAGTGGCAACGGCAGTATACGAACATGAAGCGTCTCATCACGTTTGTCAATTCTAAAACGGAATGGAACGTGAAAATGAAATTTGGCACTGTGGGTGAATATTTTGATATATTGAAAAAAGAAATAAAAAAAGCGGAAGAAAATGGAAAACCAGAGCCGGTGATAACCGGAGATTACTTCACATATACCGACCGTGATCACGAATACTGGAGTGGATATTACACCACAAGACCTTTTGACAAAAGGATGATTCGTTCGTTATTGGAATTACTTAAAGTCACCGAAATTGTGACATCATATACAATTGCTCATTCACAACAGCATGGTCATGTGTTTGTGGGACTTCCGGAAGTGCTCGGAGCCCTTCAAAGTGCACGGCGAACACACGGACTTGTTCAGCACCACGACGCCATAACGGGAACGTCTGCTCACCCAACAGTGATGGATTTTGAAAAAAGGGTATTCGATGCTATTTCAAAATTACAGCAGGTTCTAGGCAAGAGTCTTCAACAGCTTCTACTGACAAAGTCAACTCCAGGATCACCCATAGAGCCGCTGTATATTCAGTCATCTCCCGAAACCACGCTCAACCCAAAAGTTCTACAGCTTAGCGAGAGCGGCTCTAGTCTTGTTTTTATCAATGGCTACACACAAAGACGAAAGGAAGTACAGAGTATCCTTGTAAATACTCCAGACGTTGAAATTTTTGACGAAGTGGGTAATTCTATTTCAGTTCAGGTTAGCCCATACATTGGTGAAAATACAGCGGAATATGGTTCTGCAACGGGAAAATTTATTATCCTAAAGTATTATCAAGTATACTTTGAACTTTCTATCGCCCCAGTGTCCTGTGTATCGTATATTATCAAAAAGTCGAAATCGCCCTCAACGATAACGCCTATCGTTTCCATCTATAACGGAAAGCTTCAACAGTCAGGGCCTTCAGTCTTTGATATTCGAGAACTCCAAGGGAATATCAGCGGGGTATTGAAGATAGAGACCCCTCATCTTGTAACAGAATTTTCTTCCATCAATGGAACTCTTCAGCGAATGTGTGAAAACCGTGATAAGGGCGTGTGTGCCGATCTGAAACTGGACTGGGTCAGCTACCAGACTGGAAACAGTAATGCGTACACGTTTGGTACCTCCGTTAAAGCGATACAGAGCCTTCTTGGAGTAACACGCCCGATTGTAGTGATATCCGGTAAACTGGTATCTCAAGTAAGAATCAGCCATGCCCACTTCCAGCACGTCGTTACGTTGTATCATAACGAAGGTACCCAGGGTAAGGCTGTGCACATCGATAATGTTGCCACGCTAAACCCTAAAATGAATCCGGATGTGGAACTAATGATGAGGTTCGAGACGGATATCGTAAATGAACATGGTCGATATTTCACAGACTCGAACGGATTCCAATTAGTCAGCAGACGATATAGAAGCGAACTTCCTATTGGTGCTAATTTTTACCCAATCACGTCAATGATGGTACTTGAGGACAAGTCGCGCCGCCTGACTCTACACGCCGCCCAGCCTCATGGCGTAGCCAGTCTTAGGGATGGACACATCGACGTGATGATGGAACGTATACCAATGAGTAAAGGAAAGGGTCTAGAAGAAGCAGTTCTTGACCAGAAACCTGCCCCCAGTAAAATGCTTTTGTCGCTAGAACACGCTTCCTCTTCGAGACCTTCCCAACTTGGTAACAAAGACTTTGTCGAGTTCCCGTCTCTCACTGCACACTTACTAAACGACCACCTACAGAATCCTATACAGACTTTCATGATAGCCCGTGTACAGTCTTCCCTTAAACCCGTTCTCACCATGTTACACCATACCCTCCCGCCTGACGTCATCTTCTCCAACGTCAAGACAATGATGACGGATGGTCTGGCATTCTCTGGAACAGGAGTGACGCTTCACAGGAGAAAAAGCTCGTGTGTGTTCGTGGATGGTGACGTCAGTAAAGCACCGATCAATCTTAAAACACTTTTTAATAATGTGGATATCGACCAGCTGGATAAGATGGCCTTAACTCATGTGCATTTAGACACACCGATGACAGGACAACAAAATATTCACATCGAGCCAGGCGAAATGGATTCCTATTACATCAGATGGAAATAAAACTAAAGTTCAGTTTATAGTAAAGGTCGTGTAAGTGCTTCCGTGAAGAATGTGTGAGCAATCATTAGATTATTTACTAACGTCAAATTTGACACTATAATGATAATGTGTGTCTGTGGTGGTGTGGTGATGTGTGTGTGTTATGTGTGTGGTGGGGTGGTGGGGTGTGTGTGGGGAGGGGGGATAGATACTTGTGTGAAAGGTAATAGTTCAACAGAGGTGTTATCGAAGTTAAGGGATGCTTTAATGTTTTCAATAAGATTCGTCAGTTTATATATACAAAAACACTGTACCTATCAAACGTGTCGTGACGTTTCAAGACCGACTGGTCTCTTGTGAAGTTATGACTGAGTGAGACCGACTGGTCCCTTTGTGAAGCTATGACTGAGTGAGACCGACTGGTCCCTTTGTGAAGTTATGACTGAGTGAGACCGACTGGTCCCTTTGTGAAGCTATGACTGAGTGAGACCGACTGGTCCCTTTGTGAAGTTATGACTGAGTGAGACCGACTGGTCCCTTTGTGAAGCTATGACTGAGTGAGACCGACTGGTCCCTTTGTGAAGTTATGACTGAGTGAGACCGACTGGTCCCTTTGTGAAGCTATGACTGAGTGAGACCGACTGGTCCCTTTGTGAAGTTATGACTGAGTGAGACCGACTGGTCCCTTTGTGAAGCTATGACTGAGTGAGACCGACTGGTCCCTTTGTGAAGTTATGACTGAGTGAGACCGACTGGTCCCTTTGTGAAGCTATGACTGAGTGAGACCGACTGGTCCCTTTGTGAAGTTATGACTGAGTGAGACCGACTGGTCCCTTTGTGAAGCTATGACTGAGTGAGACCGACTGGTCCCTTTGTGAAGTTATGACTGAGTGAGACCGACTGGTCCCTTTGTGAAGCTATGACTGAGTGAGACCGACTGGTCCCTTTGTGAAGTTATGACTGAGTGAGACCGACTGGTCCCTTTGTGAAGCTATGACTGAGTGAGACCGACTGGTCCCTTTGTGAAGTTATGACTGAGTGAGACCGACTGGTCCCTTTGTGAAGCTATGACTGAGTGAGACCGACTGGTCCCTTTGTGAAGTTATGACTGAGTGAGACCGACTGGTCCCTTTGTGAAGCTATGACTGAGTGAGACCGACTGGTCCCTTTGTGAAGTTATGACTGAGTGAGACCGACTGGTCCCTTTGTGAAGCTATGACTGAGTGAGACCGACTGGTCCCTTTGTGAAGTTATGACTGAGTGAGACCGACTGGTCCCTTTGTGAAGCTATGACTGAGTGAGACCGACTGGTCCCTTTGTGAAGTTATGACTGAGTGAGACCGACTGGTCCCTTTGTGAAGCTATGACTGAGTGAGACCGACTGGTCCCTTTGTGAAGTTATGACTGAGTGAGACCGACTGGTCCCTTTGTGAAGCTATGACTGAGTGAGACCGACTGGTCCCTTTGTGAAGTTATGACTGAGTGAGACCGACTGGTCCCTTTGTGAAGCTATGACTGAGTGAGACCGACTGGTCCCTTTGTGAAGTTATGACTGAGTGAGACCGACTGGTCCCTTTGTGAAGCTATGACTGAGTGAGACCGACTGGTCCCTTTGTGAAGTTATGACTGAGTGAGACCGACTGGTCCCTTTGTGAAGCTATGACTGAGTGAGACCGACTGGTCCCTTTGTGAAGTTATGACTGAGTGAGACCGACTGGTCCCTTTGTGAAGCTATGACTGAGTGAGACCGACTGGTCCCTTTGTGAAGTTATGACTGAGTGAGACCGACTGGTCCCTTTGTGAAGCTATGACTGAGTGAGACCGACTGGTCCCTTTGTGAAGTTATGACTGAGTGAGACCGACTGGTCCCTTTGTGAAGCTATGACTGAGTGAGACCGACTGGTCCCTTTGTGAAGTTATGACTGAGTGAGACCGACTGGTCCCTTTGTGAAGCTATGACTGAGTGAGACCGACTGGTCCCTTTGTGAAGTTATGACTGAGTGAGACCGACTGGTCCCTTTGTGAAGCTATGACTGAGTGAGACCGACTGGTCCCTTTGTGAAGTTATGACTGAGTGAGACCGACTGGTCCCTTTGTGAAGCTATGACTGAGTGAGACCGACTGGTCCCTTTGTGAAGTTATGACTGAGTGAGACCGACTGGTCCCTTTGTGAAGCTATGACTGAGTGAGACCGACTGGTCCCTTTGTGAAGTTATGACTGAGTGAGACCGACTGGTCCCTTTGTGAAGCTATGACTGAGTGAGACCGACTGGTCCCTTTGTGAAGCTATGACTGAGTGAGACCGACTGGTCCCTTTGTGAAGTTATTACTGAGTGAGACCGACTGGTCCCTTTGTGAAGCTATAACTGAGTGAGACCGACTGGTCCCTTTGTGAAGCTATAACTGAGTGAGACCGACTGGTCCCTTTGTGAAGTTATGACTGAGTGAGACCGACTGGTCCCTTTGTGAAGCTATGACTTTAACATTTCGACACGTTTGATACGTACAGTGTTTGTGTATAAATTAAATTGTTGTTGAGTCCATGAATTGTCTTCATGTTCAAGTTGTGAGGATATTACGTTATATTAACTACTGATTGTTGCTGAATACCAGGCAGGTTTTCCACACGGTTGTTCACCGGTTGTGTTGTGACTATACATTTATTTATGACTAACAACGCCATTTTTCGCTCTTATGTTTGAATATCGTGAGCTGAATATAAAGTGTTCTCTATGGCAAATACATGTAAGTTGTAACAGTATGAAATTAAACTCTATTGCTCAAACTGTGTACAAGATAAATAAGGAATGAGGGTCTAATGAAACAATATTTAGTAGTAATTCTGATTTTAAAACATGTATGACCCTTATGTTGTTGAAAGTTGATCAAAATGTCCAACGACGAAGATTCAATCAATATACCTAAAGCTAGTATATGTATTCAGTAGCTCTTCCCTAGTGATACACGTGTATTATAGGTCTTCCCTAGTAAAACACGCGTATTACAGGTCTTCCCTAGTGATACACGCGTATTACAGGTTCCCTAGTGATACATGCGTAGTGCAAGTCTTTCCTAGTGATACACGCGTATTACAGGTGTAAGGTGCGTCGCCCATCATAGTACACAAAATGTAGATTACGTGATCGGAAGCTGCGAAGTAAGTATACATATATCATAATATTGAACAAAGTCTTTAGAAGATACATATGCACATTCCATTATCTGTTCTGTTTATTTACAAAACAAATGTGAGGAAATGGGTCTATAATCGCTTTAAATATCACTCGATATTGATTTCATTATCACTGGATTTCTAAAGGTTTCTCTGTTATGCTTGTTTCAGTTTTGTAATTGTGAGATGGTCAATTCGATCGGTTTCCCCGCGTTTATAACTCAGATCGATGATTTACCTACATTTGTTTAGGAAATAGCAATGAGCAGTGACCGAATATTGTCGAGGATATGAACAGTGATTGTTATATGTTATACATTCCTGTGACTATAGGACGTCTTGTCCAACAAGCAATCGGAGGACGCGGATGATGACTTGATAAAAAATCCGATTACACCTGTTTTCCGTACACGTGTTTTGTATTGTGGAGAGCTATGAATTGCTGGCTCTCCCTGCCTTATTCTCGTAGCCGTATATGTATTTGATTCGATAGATTGTTTTTATAAATAGATTTTTTGTTATAAAAAATATTTATAGATTTATCCAGACTGTTAAATAAAATGATCTTTACAGTTTTATTGTAGATTTATAGATGGGTGATGAAAAAAACTCAACTGAATCACAAACCTTATACATATATTAACCTCCTACAAATAATCGGGCAGCCAAAAAATTCGGGAAGTGACTTTTTAACCCGATTGAAAGTTGCACTTTCTGTTGTAACTTTTATGGCATGTACGCGTACGGGCCGCCGTAGACTAGCCTGGTAGCCGTAGACCAAAGAGAGATAATGTCACTATGCAAACGACGCTTTTCGCCGGCATATTTTTAATATTGGTGAATACACAACTGTTGTTTTTGGCTTATAATATATACGTTTTGCTTAAAAAATATATAATTTGGTGTTTTCAACATGAATCAACATACATTGATACGTTATTTATTCATATTATACCATCCGGACTTGCTCATTGCCAGCGGACTTTTTTTCTCGGACGTTTCATTGGATACTCCACAGGATAAGCTGATTTTGTTGAAACGAAAATATATATCTAGAATCTAATAATAACCGACTAATAATATTCCTTTCATTTTGAAAGATGATTTTTTCGCGATAATTTTATATTTTAAAAAGTTTGTGTCCGCACTATTTCAAATCATCGGTCACTTCCGGTATAATTTACGTGCACGTAAACCCGTACGTAAATGTAAAAAGTTACGTAACTTACGTGCACTTAGTTACGTGCACGTAAATATTTACGGGTACCCGTAACTTTACGTACGCGTCGTCAAACGGCACCAAGGGCACTCGCCGGCCGAGCACCCGTTGACAGTAGGCATACAGCTCATTTGAAGTTAAATGTACAGCTGTTATATGATGTAAATGATGATAAGTTGGTGGATGAAGTGCCCTGTGTCATTACAAAGTTCTCTGACCTTAATGTGCAAGTTGATGTCACGGGGATTACATGGTGGGTTTATATGACGTGTTACATGTCCGTGTATCATGGTGGGTTTATATAACGTGTTACATGTCCGTGTATCATGGTGGGTTTATATGACGTAAAATGACTTTTAAAGTAATCGCTATTGCGTCCACGTATATTCGTGGTATGTTTCTATGACGTGTAAATGTATGACGTGTTCATCAATCACTATCACATGCAATTATATCGTGGTATGTTTCTCGGAAGTGTAAGTGAATCATTACAATACATGTGTCGTGGTATGTACTTGCACGCGTATTTTGCTATGTTTCCATAAACTATAATTAATCACTATTACATGCACGTGTATCGTGGTATGTTTCTACGACGTATAATTAATCACTATTACATGCACGTGTATCGTGGTATGTTTCTATGACGTATAATTAATCACTAGTACATGCACGTCTATCGTGGTATGTTTCTATGACGTATAATTAATCACTATTACATGCACGTGTATCGTGGAATGTTTCTACGACGTATAATTAATCACTATTACATGCACGTGTATCGTGGTATGTTTCTACGACGTATAATTAATCACTATTTCATGCACGTGTATCGTGGTATGTTTATACGACGTATAATTAATCAATAGTACATGCACGTGTATCGTGGTATGTTTCTCTGACGTATTATGAATCACTAGTACATGCACGTCTATCGTGGTATGTTTATATGACGTATAATTAATCACTATTACATGCACGTGTATCGTGGAATGTTT